GTTACATATCTTCTGGCTGTTGATTGCTAAATAAAACACATCAGCTAACACCAAATGTGGGGTGAAATGCACAGCCTCGTGCACAGGTTGCCTGCCTGAAGCGCTGCCGCTCCAGCAGACAGAGAAGCCCCAGAGGAGTGCGAGAGCATCCTGGTGGTACCACCAACGTCAAAGCTTTATATCACTCCTCCTGCTCAGCCTGGTGGGTGGTGTCATCCCAGACCCACAGATTCCTTAATTTTTCAGCAGCCTACGCAACTGCTTCAGCTGAAGTGCAGTGACATTTTTTTCTCAACACTGAAATGAGAGAAAGGGGCAAAAAAAAGACTCTAAACGCAACCTTTCACCATTTAAACACAACAACATTTACCAGACCGTGGAGCTAGTCTGGAAAGTTTTCAGAACCTTCTGTTATGACATGAAGTGTCCAACTGTTAAATGAATGTTTAGAAATGCAATTTAAAGCTGGCAGAGGCTCAGGTCTCCATGTCAGACCGATAAAGAGGAGCCTATATATCACTGTGAAAGAAGTCTTAATTCCTGCTCCAGTAGCTCAGGTTTTTAAGTACAGGTTTAGCATCATACAGAACTGTGCAGAGAGGTATCTAACATTAATCTTAGTAAGTATGACTCATCTATCTGTAGCTTAACCAAGAAAAACATAACATTCCCTTTGTCTGGCTTCAAATCTTTTTAAATTTGCTTTCCCATAATATTTGAATGAGAAAATTTACCATCTGTCCTGGGCTCTACCAAAATGAAATTTAAGTATTAAAAGGTCTTCATGGCCAGTATTTTGGAATTGTAGCAAGCCTTAACATCAAAAATACAACTTTAAATTCTGTTCATCACAGAGGCTAAAAAAAAGGAAGATCTTGGTATTAAGCTGCCTGAATTTTCAGTGTTACTGCCAACAAACAGACCAATATTTAGTGGACAAAATTATTTCTAATTGTTGCTGCCTCTGTAGTCTTTTATGTCTTTGGGTCGTGCTCATCACTTGACAATCTAGAAATAGCAAAGATATCTAAACAACTAAAATATCCCAGATCCCCAAGAGGTTAATGCTTCCAGTTATAATTATTTTGTGGGTAATTCTGAGGGATGATATCTGAGAAAATTATAATCTGCTGTCAGTATCTGAAGAGGAAAAAAAGACGCTAAATCATCATATTAGTCACTGGCTATGAGCAGTCATCTAGCCGAACTAAAATGCTAGGCATTTGCAACGCATTTCCAAACACGTCCTTTCTTGCCTGGCTTTGGAGCCAATCTTTTCCCAGACTCAAGTGTCAGAGGAGAAACTGGCTCTGAAGTTCCAGTTCAGGTTTGAAATACTGTCAAAGCCCACAGAGAACTACTGCATCACCTCTAACCCTGAGGTAGCTGAAAGCCTGTGTTTTGCTGCTAGTAGCACCCACGACATCGTACGAAAGACTGAAGCTGTACACCCTCAGGGCAGGGGGCAAGGGCTCCTGCTTCCTGGAGATGACTTCAGGTCATTCATGGAATTAATTTTTTGTGATGATTTGGTTAGGTAGCAGCTGGGACCTGTCTCTGTTGCACAATGTAATTTCTTGAAGGTGCTGTGTACAGATGTACAGAAGTTTTACTGTCAATGGTAAGGAGAGTCAGTTCTTGTCAAGTAATCTGCAGGCTGTTCATCCAGCTTGCAAATTACATTCATGGTGGAGAGATAAACACGAAAGTATCTGCATACAGAAAGGGGAGGATTAAGTAATGTAAGTTTGGGCCAAAAGGGGAAGAATGAAAAGTGAGCACCATCACATACTTCCACAATTTTTATGAAAACAAATATTAGATAGGGGTTCAAAATGATGTAAATATGTTTTTACAGAAAAGTAAATTATGTGGCTAAATTTTCTGCTATTATTGCAAATAATTAATTTTTACAAACAAATAATCATAATAGATAGGGTCCCTCGAAACACACAAAAATGTGGAGACCTGGGAGCCACTGCCATGGACCACTGGTAAAGAAGCTGAATCTGTCATGTGTGCTAGGGCTCTTTAACTTTTGGAAAGGGTATCCTCTGTCTGACTTATCTGGATTGCTGCAAATCAGTGGAGATTTTTAAAAATTACCTAAGCTTAAATATCTAAGTTTTTCTAACCCTTCATGGTACTCCTGAGAAGACTCGATCAGAAGTCTCACAGCCACCTTAGCCTGGAAGTGGTGTGCTGTTCCCCGTGTCCCCATATTGCACCTCCACACTATGAGCTCATGCAGGCTGAGATGCAAGACACTGACAAGTTCCCTTTGCTGAGTGTCCCAGTAAGCAAACCACTGTAAATCATCCCTGAAAGTAGCTCTGCTTGCTCTAGTGCCCTCTTTGTACTTAGACCTCTTGTGCAACCTTCTTCTCCCCCAAGCAACCAGCCAGCTTATGAGAGTCCTTAATGCCCATTCCTTTCATCCCAAGGGAGGATCTAAGTGACCCAAATGTAGGCTGTAGACTACTTGCATAGTAAGACTATGGCTTAGAGTTGCCTTTTTGACCTGGCTGTATCCCTGTATACAAAGGCCATTTTGCAAGAGATCTCTTCTCTTTTCTTGTGCCCCAGGAATACACCAGAAAATGCCTAACTGTGATGGGAGGACCCTGGGGCTCTCGAAAGATAATTTGTATGAATGCAGCATTTCTGAAAGCACAGTTCTTTTAAATGTTAATGTTATTCAGCAGCATAGTAACCAGAGAGCGAGAGGGCAAAAAAAAAAAACCACCACAAAAACATGTTTTTGTGTGTTCAGGGCCATGTTCTCCTGTAGGATTTGTTGCCGTAAATTTCTGGGCCACAAAACAGACTGTATTTTGCAAGGAAGGCTGCAAGTTACCAAGAGAGTTAATTGGTTTATACTGTTTTAATAAGACCTCCTGGGAAACAGATTTAATAGTGGAGTGCCAGTATCACATAATAAAACACGGCTTGTAGAGGATATTACAATGTAAGTTACAGTGTGTCTAACTGGAAAGTATTTGCTGAACTTTCAGGGAACAATATCTAAATCTATTATGTTGGCAGCCTGGAAATGAGGCTATGTGGCTGCAGTAGTTAAAATGAAAACAATCTAGCGATTTAGGTGGAAACTGACTGCCACAAGGGGATCAAGAGTTTTATTGTGGGAAGGTCACACCGAGACCTTCCTTTCAGAGAGGGAAATAAAAGGATCCAATGTACAGTTTGCTATAAGCACTCGTCAAACCAACCTCTCTCCCCTTTTCCCTTCCCAACCACAAGGTTTCCTGCATGGAAGGTGTAAGGTAAGTAATGTCACAGGGCATTACAAACCTGAACTTGGACCCCACAGTGTGGGGTCTGTGATCAAAGTGAAATAGCAAAGCTTACCACACTTTTTGCTTGTAGGTTGTGAGGTCGAAATCCTTGGAGTCAGACCAAGTTATTGCCGTGAGTACTTCAGTGTCCCAACAGACAAAAACTTCGCAGATGCCATCAGCGATGCTCTTGAGTCTTTGGGGTATGTCACTAGACTTCTGCGGTGTGGGGTTTCCTCTCTCAGGGATGAATAACTGGGTTTACTATCAGCCTTGGTGTAGGGAGATTTTCAGGATTGACTCCCAGATAGGAAGGGGTCTGAGATTGCTTTATAGTACTGTCCTGGAAACATGACCATAACAGAAATAGGCCCTTACATTAAGATCGGAGGGGAAGATGTGCTCATCTTTTCATGTGTAGGTTACAACACAGAGGAGAAATCCTGACTTACTATTTTAAATTTTCTGTTTCAAACAATTTGAAAATCGGTCTGTGAGTCTGTGAGTATCTGTTCACTGACCTGCAAGAGCAGACTTTGAAATGCTTGGATTTAGAGAGAGCTCCTGGGAATTTGGAAATTCTGAAATTCAGCTCTAGTCACTTATTTACAAGACGAATGTTTTGGCTCCTTCTGCATTTTAGAAGATCTCAGGCCCAATGATTTTGGAGTGGGCTTTCATTTTGTGCAAATATGGGAATAGAATAGAACAGAACAGAAGATAATAGTTCAGTTGGAAGAGACCTACGACGATCGTCTAGTCCAGCTGAAGGGAGAGTTGGGAATATAGCTCTCAATGAGCTCATAGGAAAAATGTATGCTCCACCCACAGCTTTCTAGTTCCACCATCTCTCATCCAAGTGTTAACAAGGGACAATTCCATGTACCTTGTAAAATCAGGGAATGTTGCACTGCCATGCACAGATCCAATGCCTTACTTTAGCTATAGCTAAGCTTCCTCTTTTAAAACCGTGTTGGTTCCACAAATTATCCAATCCTAGGATGCAATTCTAATTTGCTACTTGCAAACTGCCATAGTGATTTGAATCTGAAGAGCTGCACATTCAAATGCTGAGTGTTGCTTGTCCTTGAAATGAAGGCTCCAGAATGATGAGAGCACTGCTGGAGATGTTGCTCCCAGTTGCACACTGGGTCCTGCTGCACAGATGCTCACAAATCACAGTGTCATTTACAGCACAGGGCTTAGAGAGAAGCTGTCTCTGAGCATGTGAGACATTTGGTCCTGAAATGATTTAGCTTGTATTTTAAGAAAGTTATCTGCATGTGACATGAGGAGTTCATATGTGCTATAGAAGGCTTTTTGTAACTTCTGCAACACTTTTAATTCAGTGAGTAAAGAAGGGAATAGAAAACATTACAGACACCAGCTCTGACTTCTGGTAGAAACCTAGAATTGCCATGGAAATTTTTGGTCAGGTATCATTTGGGGATTGGTCAAGATATGCTTGAAGCTCCCCATCTGGTTTCTGTGAAGCAAGGTGCATTAGGCTGCTCAGTAATTGTGGACACAATTAAAAGTGAAGCACAAACTCTTAAGAGCTCTAGCCCTTCAAGCTGCTGTTTTGTGTAGCTGGAGCCCATTGAAAAAGTTTAAATAGCTAATTCACCCCAAGTCACAAGGCTGCTTGCTGCTGCCTTTGGTGGAAAAGAAGAAAAAGGCAGAGACACAGGAGCGTTGGTGGGGCAGCTTGCAAGATGTGAAAGCTGGCACTTTCAAGAAATGAGTGAATCATTGCCACCATGATGTCTGCCATAAACACCAGCTATGCCCTGCTGAAGAGCCAAAATCCTGCAGGTTGTCCTGGAGCTACAGGAGGTTCAGTCTCTGGTGTCCATTTACATGCCATCCCCTCTTGAATTTCTACCTGGGTTCCTCTCCTTTAAACTAAGTGCCCTGTCTGCAGCAAGGCAGGAAACAGGATAAACAATCGTTAATAAAATTAATAATCAGTTGTGGGTGTAAATACTGCAGGGACTTAGAGTAATAAAGGAGGGTAGACAACGAACAAATTAAGAGGTAAATTTTCCTTTCTCTCTGTTGTTTTTCCCATCATTCATCCTCTTTGTTTAGTCCCTTAAAATTTAACAAAAAATTTTCAGTGCTGCTGGGCCGGCCCTTAAGAAGTAAAGCCTCTGAAATGCCATTGGCGTAGGCAGGACTTAGCATCTCTGGGCAGAAGACTCCTGAGCTGCGTTTTATTGTCGTCTACATCTTTTGCAAGAGCTTCTGACTCTTGATGCTGTTCAAAGGCTGGCAAATCCAGCGTGTTTCCTTTCCACACCCCAACTAATTGAAAAAGCCCATTAGGGATGGCATCCCATTAGCTGAGGCTAGCATTAGCTTTACGTGGGAGAACAGCCTATGGCAAGGGCAGTCTGTCACCTGGAGCAGTGCCTTGCTCAGCTGCCCTGATGGCAGGTGTTAGTGGTTAATGAACTGCACTTACAATCCCACCATTAGCAAACCTTACAGGGACTTCAGGGTGGAGAGAGTAAGCCTTTTATTGTGGCATGGTAGCCTAGGGGTTAACTTGAGTTTGGGCACACGAATGTCCTGACCCATCTTAACTTCACCAGGGTCAAAGGGAGTTTTATCAATGTACCTAACTCCTCAGGGAGCCACTGAACTCCTCTTGCAACCAGAGGAAACCATCCTTCAGGAATATTCTCCAGTCTCTTCAAACAGATTCTTTGAGACCATTATTTAGACCAAAAATATTCAAAACTAAGTCAAGCACCCTTTTTTGGCAAGTAAAACTAAAGCCTCCCTTATGTCTTTTCCACAACTATAGTTTAAGGGCTGTTGTAATCTACCTGCCTTCCTGGACAAGTGTCGTGAAGTTTGTGCAGTACTTGCAAAGTATGTTAATAAAATGTAAAACCCTTTTTGGTGTTGCCATCAATGCCGTCCAGCTTTGTTCAGCAAGCTTTCCTTAGCCATTTCTTTTGAAAGTTAGTGGTGATGGGAAAAACAGGACTAACAGTTAGAAAGAGAGATTACTTCTCCCCTGCAAGCCATGATCAGAGATGCCTAATTTCTCAAAAGTGGAAACAAAAGTCAAACTCAGTCTTAGAAGCTCTGGATGTGCTGTACCCAGTCCTGCAAACTTCAAAGCATGTTGCCTAACTGGAGCTTGTCCCACTGAAGTCATGTGCAAAGTTTAACATTAATTCTTACAGCACTTAGCCCTCACTGAGAAATCTCACCACAGCCCAAATAACACCGCTTGGTTTATGCAATAAATCTCTTTCTTAGCTTCTATTTGGATCAAAAAGACCATTTAGTTACAGGTGAGAAGACACAAAGCAGTCATTAACCACTAACACCTAAGTAGCTAATTAATACAGGCATTGCAGCAGAAAAAAACTGTTTCAATAGGTTCAATGAGTGTGTATGCAATATAGAAATTACAGAGTTAAAATTTAGAAGTTAATTTATGCCTAATACAGATAGAAAGTAATGATTAAAATGAAATTGGGAGGAGGTAAGGGTTTGTTCATTTGATTGATATTTAAATCATGAAGAGTGAGAAAAAACACTGTTTTTACACTGTACAAACAGGGACAGCGGTGGAGAAATTCCCACCATGGCAGAGACCTTCAGCTTCCTGCAGGACTGCTCCTCTGAGGCCTTCAGCAAATTTACAAGTGCAAATGACAGACCCTAATTCATTCATTCAGTCCCTCACCTCTGATTTTTTCTCTTCTGTCTCACCCATTACCCTAAACTACTCGGGTGTCTTTAATTAGAGATGCTGGACCTGTCAGGACATCACACAAAGTCTTTTTGTGGGGATCTTAATCTGGATGAGGGCATGCATTAGAAGAAGACTGGGTTTGAACTTCATGAGCATAGATTTGCGATTTTATCCACACGACTGCTCTCAGGGAGCTTTACAGGGATCTGTAAAGTCGTCATGAAAATGTAATTAAGCACTGATGTATGTGCAAGCCCACTAATTAGTGTGAGGGCATTCAGTACTGAAACATGTGATGAGCTAAACTTGTGTAACTCTGAGATTTACCTTAGTTTCCCTTTGGTCATATTCCTGAATAAAAACCCCATCTAAAATCTCACCCCAATTCATACCACTTGGGATTTTGCAAGGTCATGGAAGCGCTGTCCTGAGTTGACAGTGGTGGTTTGGAAGACCTCACAGGAGAAAGCCAGAAGTGCCAAACTTTAATTAAAGCACATTTGATTGGTAATTCCCACAATCCTTTTAATAAGAGCATTCAGCGTGGAAATTAGTTATTTCTTTTGGGTCTTTCTTTGCCATTAAAGGAAAAGCTGCCTCCCTAATTCAAAGAGGTATTAGAGGGCTGCCAGGCCAGCCGGTGTTTGCATATAGCAGTCTCTACCTGGCACCTCCGATGGGAGTCTCAAGCAAACTCAGGAGAATCTGGTCATGAATAACGAGGCCAGCCATGCAACAGTGGGTAGGAAAGCACAGGCTGGAAGGAGTAAATGGAGTTTTGTGGCTCTATCTGCCGGTGAGGACAATAACACCAGCAGCCAGGAGGTTCCCATGCACATCAGTCTCTCACTCCTTCCCCTCCCTCCCACCTCCAGCAACGGCAGCGCCGAGATGGCTGCAGTGTACTACGAGCGCATCGATGTGGAAGGCCACCACTACGGCCCTTCATCTCAGCAGCGGAAGAAAAAAGACAAAGCCTTGAGCAACATGATCACACTCATCAGGGTGAGTGGCATCCAAAACCCCAGCTCCTGGGTGTGTTTGGAAAAAGCTTTTAAAGCTGCTCTTTGTGGCACTGCCGAGAGCTTATTTAATGCCTGTTAATTGGATGTGTTGGCTGTAAACTTTTATTTCCTGAGAAATAGAGGCTACTGAGATCACATGGAAGTCAAGGCACCATTCCCCTGATTTTTATTTTCATCAATGGCATTATAATCCTCCTAGCGGTTCATTATACCGATAGCCCCAGGAAGCCATAAACCAATATACATGTTGCTCTGCTCATAACTTGTGTTGCCAGCTAGGATTTATAGTAGGCAAATGAATCAAAACCACTCATTTCGTAAGGTTCGTGGAATCAGACAATTAATCATAGAATCATATCATAGAATCAT